CGTCATTCACCAAATATTCCTGAGAGCCCACTATGCGCACAGGACTTTGATGGCCTTTGAGGACAAGCTCAACCAAAAAAATGGATTCTTGAGAAACACAAATAAATGCATGATGAATGATGGCTACAGATGTTAGGGAATCATGACAATGGCTGGATTGGACTGTGGGGAGAGGTGGGATGCCATGCTTAAAGGAGGAGGGAGCATTCTCCTTCACAAGAGGTTGAGGAGAGCTGCTTTTGATGGCACACGTGTAATTTCAGCATTCAGAAAAGACTAAAGCATGAGGATACTAAGTTCAAGGCTAGCCTGGTGAGACCCTGTCTTAACAACAACAACAACACAAGAAAGCCTATGGTGGTGCACAACAGGCCGATCTGAGTTCAAGGCCAGCCTGGTTTACAGAGCGAGTTTCAGGACACACAGGACTACACAGAGAAACCCAGTGTCTTGAAAAACAAAAACCAAACGAGAGAGAAATTCCCATTCAAACCTCGGGAAAATATTCTTGATCCCTTTCTTTCCTATATACCCACATTTAGCCAAAGACAAATTCTAATGGCTCCAATGCAAACCATTGCTGACCAGTTCTCATGACTACCATCCCCATCATCTAGCAGCTGGGTTTACCACTTCAGCCAATGACCCCAACAAATGGCCTCCACATAAGACTCAAGGTGATCGTTTCCCAGGGGAAGGCAGGTCTCTCCCTGACCTGCCAGTGTTATTCCAAATGACAAGTGCTGGGGGGGGGGGTATCGTTTTTTTTTTTTTTTTTTTTTTTTTTTTTTTTTGTTTTGTTTTTAGTTTTTCAAGACAGGGTTTCTCTGTGTAGCTTTGGAGCCTATCCTGGCACTCGCTCTGTAGACCAGGCTGGCCTCGAACTCACAGAGATCTGCCTGCCTCTGCCTCCCAAGTGCTGGGATTAAAGGCATGCGCCACCAATGCCCAGCTGACAAGTCCTTATATAAAGACCTAAAAGTCCTTCTGTGCCCTGCTTTCCAGCACGACTCTTACCCGCTTTCTGCAGCTTCCTTTCCTTTTTTGTCTCTCCAACCTTTTATCTTTCTTGTCTTTTGAATGCACCAGGAATTTCTTATTTCCATTTTTTCTCTTTAGCATTTTTTTTAATTTCTATTTTGTGTGTGTCTGCAGGAGCTTGGATGACAGCTCTCAGGAGTCAGTTCTGCCATGTGGGTTCTGGGAATGGAACAGAGGTTGTCAGACTTAGTGGCAAGTTCAATTACCCACTGAGCTATCTTGCCGGCCCCTCCTTAGTGCTTTTAAGTAGCTGGTATTTCTGGCTAATTTGATATCTTTCCCATTTGAATATAAACTGCACAAAGACAAGAGGGTTTCTTGTTTTGTTTTGTTTTGTTTTGTGTTCTGCTAAATCCCCCAGCTGACCTGAACCAGCCTGAGCAATGAGGAGGGGATGTCTAGAGACTTGATGTTTAAACATCAGTTATTTCCACAGTCTCTGTCATAGCCTTGTGCACATTCTGAAGTCCCCACTGAGGGACAGAATGACCTGGTAGAATGAAGTGGGGAGCAATAGAGGACATTCTATAGAGATGGGGGTGTCAGAATCTGCTTGAGAAGTGACAAGAGGGCTCATCATAGGAGGATGATCCCAGATAGCCTTAAAGAAAGAACTTGTCACTCTTTGGGTTGATGGCACCCCCAGTCCTAACCCACGATGGACAGGCTAGGCTTGCAGTTTCTAGTGCAACATGGCTGAGTTTCTAGTCCTTGTTCTCTGGATCCTGACTGTTTGCCCAGGAACAAGAATGCTGCCTGTCCCCAGACTCTGTCCTGTGCTATGTGGGAAGCAAAGTGTAGATTCCTCTGCTCACTCCTCTCTCCTTCACACCCTCTCTTCCAAGGTCACCTTTCAAGGTCATCAGGGCAGGAACAGTCTAGCTCTCATTTCTACTTTCTTCTCTCTTCTTCTGCCTTCCCTCCAGCTCTGCTAACACTATCACAACAGGCAGAGCCCCAGACCACCACCCCCTCACCCTGGGTTACATCATTTCCAGTCACAGGGGTGTGAGAACGTAAAGTCCCATAACATGCCTTTCCCTGGCCCACTGCCTACATCTTCATTCCTCAAATTTCGTCAATATATTAGTCAACAAATGTGGTCAAATTACACAACCTATTTCCAGTTCAGAAACTGGCAGAAATGGGGTGTTGAGCTTGTTTTAGGAGATTGAGGAACTGAAGATATAAATGATTCTAAGCCATCCTGTCTTTCCCCACCTTCCCAAGAGGAACTGATAGGAACTGATAGGAACCAGCCCTCACATAAGTTTACTGACATCATCACCACCCTCCGTCTGCCTAGCCCATTCTCTCCCTCATCTTATCATCCCTTGAAGATCATTGGTCTCCGTGCAATGAACCACTGAGCTATCCTGCATTTTTGCAGGAAATGACTGATTAGGAGGGGCTCAGGGTAGACCTTGGCGATACTATGACATGGCAGAACCCCTTCTTTTTAGGAATCACTGTAGGAAAGGCTCTGTATATACCAGCTTTATCGACGGATGCCAGAATGGCTGTTGCCACGGCAGCAGAGCATTCTCACTACAGAAGAGGATGGTTGGGAAACTCAGGGGATATGAAAAGAATAAAAAAGAGTGAGATAAAGGTAGAGAGGTGGTATTAGGGAGCCTTGGAGTATTCTTGGAGTATGCCAAGATAGTGTTTAAAGGAACCACGACCCAGCCATGGCAAGACCCTTTAAAGGCAGGAGGAGAACTGGCAGGGAGTTGACTCACAATGTTGTGCATAGATAGTATTTTACATCTCAGAAACCAACAGCCGTGTGGGAAGGAGAGGGACCCAGACTTAGAAGGTTGGAAGGGGCGGTGCCTCTCTTCTGATAAGAACAGATACTAACTTGATTTCAGCCAAAGGTCTGAGGAGTGTTCTATCCTTTATCTGCTCTGTCTTCTAAAGAGAAGCAGAATTTCAGGGAATGTTTGTTGAAGGAAGAAAAGGGATTGAGATTTGGGGAATATGATATCCCATGAGAGGAGGCTCAGAGGAACAAAGAGGATACAGAGAAAAGGAAGAACTAAATTAACACACCAAATCAAATGAGGGCGTGAGACAGCGGTGGTGGAAGGAAGGTCAGGTCCCGGGGGCAGTAGGCATCCGGAGCAAAGGAGATGCAGGTGGACAGAACAACACATTGCCTAGGGTTTCATAAAATGTTGAAGGCCTTACTACACAGATATGGACACCAGAAATGAGGGGTCAAGTTAAGGCAGGTGCTTTGGCTTCAGCAGTAGACATGGGTGGATGGACACAGTGCTGTTCAGTCAGGATGGTAATTAGCCAATTTTGTTAGCTAAGGCAGAGATGAAACTATATGCAGGGGGGAAACAACCAACAGCAACCAAGAACTTGGTAAATCAGTCCACCGGTATCCTTTTCCAAACTGCAGTTTTTAGAGAAAGCAACATTACCATGTGATTGAATCAGGGAAGTCTTATATAAATTATGGAATGACAGATGGTCAAGAATGAGGACTTTAGAAACGATAGTGTATGTATAATCCCAGCACTCAGAGGGCTGAGACAGGAGGATCTCCAGTTCCAGTTGTTTGAGATACTGTTACAAGTAGTCTGTGGGATCAGAGACGTTCTTTCTCTTGCTTGAACGAGGAGCTTATTTCAGGCAGAAATTTGAGTATTTGTGTGTCCTATGACCTGCCTCTATGTTCCTCATGTTCTAGGAGGCTACCACTCAACATTCCTTTGACCAGCTTTGAATTGCTTGTTTCCTACATGGACTCACAGTCTTGGTTCTACCTCTGAGTTCCCTAAAATCTGGACTTAGGGCCTTCGAGCACTATCTGCCTGGCCAATCTGCACCCAGATCTAGTCCCTCACTCCTCTAAGGCAGTGCCTGTTGTCATTCCTGTAATTAGAACACATATCCATGCCTGCCTTCTTAAGATAAATGTGTATGACACTTTGTTTTCACAGGGACAAAGTTATTTCCCCAGGTCTTGAGTTGTCTGACTTGTCCCTGCCAGACATTGAGTTCCTTGAGGGCAGAATCTCCATCTTTCTTTGAATCTCTAAGGCCAGCTGAAAGTCCACAGATCTTTCGAAACACCTCTCTGCTACAGTCCCTGTCCTAGAAAGGTTTAGAGACTCTCAATCCAGCCCTAGGATCCAGGAAGTTAGAATATCCTGGGCTGTGGTCAGCACCTGGTGTCCAGCCTTCAGCCCTCAGAGCCCTTTAACCGTTAACACCTACTCTGGCACTTGGAGAGCTCCTATGCTGATGGGGTCTTTTTAATTAGTTCTGCAGTCCAGGGACTGATGAAGTCTCCTCTGAGTCCTTAGGTTGCCAAAGCCCCTTTACCTATGAAGCTAGTATTATAACCACTGTAAGAGTGACAGATAGCAAGACAGCTTCAATGACTTTGACAAGGTCATGTGATCCAGTGGGACTCAGACTCCTGCTCCCAAGGGTTAACCTCTTCCTTTTGCATCCCAGCCCCACTTTCCTGTCAACCCTGGTCTCTGTTTAAACCACCCTGTCTTCTACTGTGTCTTCATGGCTTGTGAGGGTAAACTGTGCCTTAGAGGGACTGAAGGTAACAAGAGAGTTTTCCTGGGGGAAACCAAAGGTGGTTTGTGGGAACTTCCCTTAGGCTCTGCCGGTTTCTACCCAAGAGCTTATGGGTAGAAACTCTTTCACAGATACCCTTTCTCAGTACCTTTGCCTGCACCCCTAAATCTCCTCCACGGATACAGTTTCCCAGATGCGGTAGGGAACCATATACCCCATCTCTCTGCAGAGAGCAAGGAAAAAAACTGGTGGGATCCTTTCTGTGCCCCCAGGGCTCAGCTCACAGACACCTCCCCCTCCCGAGCCAGAAATAGACACACTGTCTCCCCTACCTCCCTCCCCTTGCGCACACTCCACCCCTCCTCCTGTTTGCTCCCCGCCTTCCCCCTCCCCTTCTTCGCTGGGAGCTGCAGCCCGCAGCCTCTCCGCGAGCTGGAAGGAGTATAGTGAGGGCGCTGCCCGGGAGTGTGCGGCCTTTTGCATAGATCGGCCGCCGCCGGGGGACCTAGATGAGATCCGAGCATCGCTGCACGTCCCCTCTTTGATGGAGCCTCCCGGCTTCCATCCTTCCTTTGACTGATTTAAATTTTTTAATTTATATCCTCCCTGCCCCGCCCCTTTTCCTTCGAC